CGATGGAGGTGCTGGGCCAGGCATGGTGGGACGTACCTGAGAGCAGCCTGCGGAAGGAGGGCGTCCACGCGCTGAGAGAAGCAGACAGAACAGGCTGAGTGCCGGGAGGGTGGAGACAGGAAGTGGCCCTGTCGCCGTGCAGTGCGGTCGGTTTGGGTTATCTGCTGTAGGTGAGTAAAGGGCCTCCTGGAAGTTCATGGAGAATGCACGTACACCAACAAAGCACAGCTGCTGAGAGCGGGCGATGCTTACCCCTCTCCCTGCAGTGTACGTGTTACGGTGGCCCTGTTCTGTCCTTTTCCTAGGCAGGGGCTGGGAGGCAGGGAATAAGCCCTATTGTGAAGAGATGTCTTTGTGAGCCAGAGCCAGAGTTCCTTAGGAAGGAATGTCAGGAACTGTGACGACTGGTGGGGAACTGTGGGCTGGAGTCCTCACCGTGAAGGTAGCTAAGCCCTGACGTCGGCTGCGCTCGGTGAATAGCTTGTTGTTAAACTCTGGTTGTTTAAACTTAGAGAGGAATGAAAGGGGGCTTTAAAGGATTTCTTTGGACTATCTATGGCCCAAACCCTTCATTTATATGCTTATTTATAAACCGTTTTAAAATCAGCAAGATATAATAGTAGGGAACATTACAGATAGTGATAGTAAGAATATTTAGAGTCAGCCTTGTGGCTGAGTGGAAGAAGGACCTGCATCCCACATGGCTAACTGCAGGGCTTGAGTCCCTGCCCGGGTGACTTGAAAAGCACAGCAGGCATGTGTGCGCGCCCCAGATCCTGGTAGGGTGGGAGTGGAGGAGGGAGTGTGCTGCCACCACGTCCCACGGAGGTGCCTTCTCCCTCTCCCTCTCCGTCTGCCTGTCTCTCATGAGTGCACGCATACTCTAGCCACGTGAAAAGGAGATGAGATATTCAGTCTTAGTTTCTCTGTGCTCTGCGGGCACACGTAGGTTCTCTCAGACGACTTCATTTACTGTCGCCACGTTACCAAGACAACTGTGAGCTGTTGGCTGGGACACAGAAGCAGTTTTCTATTGGGCTGTCAGGTGGCGTGATGGTTAGCGCACCGGACTCCTGCATGGCTGACCGCAGTTCGAGTTCCAGACCTGGAGGCTTGGTTTCTCACTTTCCTCCTCTTCTTCTGTGTCTCTCTCTGGCCAAATGAAATAATAATAATAAGTTGAACAGATACTTCTTTAAAAAAGAAAGAAGAAAAAGCTTTCTATTGGGTTGTCCAAAAAGCCGTGATGTATTTTTTCTGTTTCATTTTTTTTTCTATGCAAAATTGTGCCATGACTTTCCAACGACCCGGCTGTCCTGAAATGGAAGCTGCCGCCTTATAAGCCAGGCTGTGTCTTCACGCGAAGCCAGGGCAGCGCACGGGCCTCTGCTCCCCAGCCGGGCCGTGGGGCTCGGGCATTCACTGTGGGGTATAAGCTGGCTCGTGTGGCTGCGTCCCCGCGTTCATCCAGGGGTCTGCCTCTGCCCTGTCTGGGTGTCCCCACCCTAAAGGCAGACAGGCCGTGGGGTTCACAGGGTGCTTGCTGTCCCCGAGGTTGGTAAGCCTATTCCAACCCCCAAGCTGGCAGAGAGCTCTGGTCCCCGTGGACTGCAGCCTTTTAATATTGAGCCGTTTCTCTTCCTTCTCAGTGCTTATTGCAGGCATTTTAATGTAGTGTCGAGTTCGCGTGTGAGTGTGCGAGTGTGCGAGTGTGCGTGTGTGTGTGTGTGTGTGTGTTGGCGGGATGCTTTAACATCTAGTGAACCTCACCCCCTGGCGGTGGCCCAGCGTCTCTGGCCAGCCCTCGCCTGTGGGAGCC